GCCTACAAGCCGTCAAAATCAATTAGCCCAATGCAAACGAGCAGTAATATATGCATAAATGTGGGAGAACCCCAGAGTTCTTTCACATAAAAAGTAAAGGAGCAAATTTAATCGATCTATTCAACCAGAGAAATTCATCCGAAAGGGACCGTTACAATTATGTTGTACATACTACTACACAACAAATTATGTTGTACATAATTTGCACGGAAAACTACATCTAATTCATGAAACAAAAAGGGGCCGTTACAATTATGTTGTACATACTACTACACAACAGCGAACAAATTCGACAGAGCAATTCATCCGACCCCAACACAACCCTAGCACCCCCTCCATCTATTGGTTCCAGGAAACCTGAAAAGTAAAAGAAAAAAATATCTAGGGCATTTGACTCAACATGGAAAAGAAAGACTCATACGGAAAAGAAAACAACAAAAATGAGTAAACACAAGTCCTATTACGGTCCATCTATCTCACCTCAAAAAGTGAAAAGGAAAGTGAATTATCATCTGGACAATAAATTTAGTTTATAGCACAAAATTACATCATTATCATTTGTTTGGAAAAAGAAATAGCAAGATCTAGTTTTAGATTTTTATCAATTGTTACTAATTTCATTAAAAAGAAAGCAGTAGTCGCCATTTCTAGCCGCAACTAACTGGATCATGAGTCCTGACAATGTGAACGGATGACTAATAGTAGATGATCAACAAAGAAGCATTATATAAGAGAATAGTGTCCAGGGATACGTAAGTTGAACGATAGATTCATACTCATTCACCACATGTAACGTAAATAAACATAACCGGATCACCTGTCGATTCCATACCATCCTTCTTGCCTGAAAAAATTATCTTCTCGGTCAGGGTACATACAGTAACTTGAATAGCAGATCGAAAGCTAACCACAATTTGTAGCAGTATAGACCATGTGCTCCTGTGTACATAGTACTTGTGCGAACAGACATGATTCGAGAAATAAAAGAGAACATAGTTAATTATTCCATCAAATTACAACTTCTTTTTTTGAGTACTTTGGAGAAATGGATCTACCAGCAGCTAGTTAATTAGTATGTCGTTGATTGTTCCTTCCTAAGTAAGAACTGAATCTGTATTTTTTCTAGCATGGGGTCTTCTACCTCTTAGTGTGATCTTACGATCTGTTTAGGGAGAGTGGCGTTGATCGTCTTCTTGTCGAACATGCATGTCATCGCATTTTTTGTTGTGGATCAAGTTAACTGTGTGCTAATCTGTCGGCAAAATAAACCATGCATTTAGTAAACTCACTTTGTTCTTATTACGAGATTATATTCAAGCTCATTATTCAGACAGGTCGATGCTGAATTGCTGATAACAACATGCATGTACACGCGTGGCAGCTGCTAGCTTATATTAATTAATTCAGCAGACATTCGTGCATGAGCAGATTTATATGAGCGAGCATAAGTTCATAACTTACAGTTTTGTAGTGAATCTATGAAACATTATGCGACTATGAACACCTCATTTTTTTAGTAGAAGCTAGCGCTTGTTACTGTAAATCTGGTGCAGTTGACTCCAAGTCTCCAACAGATAAGATCTTATTAACTAAACTTGTTCAATCATTCACATGATATATGCATGGCATGCATAAAAAATGCACAAAACAAAATTATTTTCCAAGGCATAGTATGATATATGCATGGCAGGTATGTTTGTCAACAATTAGTCCCTTCTTTGCATGAATTAGTACATATAGTATAACCGAATTAAGTAGATGCACACTGGTTAACTGAATTATCTAATTAAATACATGTTCAATTATCAATGATGTAGCTTGAGGGATCTCAGTGAGGAGTACCAGAACGCCATGTCAGGCTGCACCTATCTTCAGTTAGGTGTAGCTCTTCCGGGACATACAGCTTCATCAACATCTGACGGCTACGATGAGCTCCTCGTTTTACATCATCGCTGGACCGTCTGATTTACTGTTACCTGTCCTGTTTACTGTTCAGTTGTTGTTGAGCTGGCGGGTAATAAAAGTACACCTATAACTAAGCCGGGTTGTGGCTGTAGTTGACCATTGGGAATTCCCCATTCTAGCCTAATGGCATGAACCTATATACGAACACTGCTCCTCCTACAGATCATATACTCCAGATCCAGCAATTGCCATGATTTCCCCTTACAATTTGTGAGATCCACAGTTGTAAATCGCGTAGGACCTGACACGCCACCAACAAGGAGGAAAGGGCAAGAGGATCAAAAGGGGACCAGGGCGCATACCTTGTAGGTGGCGACGGGGTGGTCCAAGGCGTCCCATAACACGCCACCCTTCCCCATCTCCTTTTTCGCCCATTTTCATACTTCCTCATCCGACGCCTTCCCACGAACAAGAGGACGAAAAACGAAGGGCGCCTCTGCTCCAGCAATACCCGCCTCCGCCACAAGCCGAGCTAGAGGTGTGCACGCATGAAAGAAGAAATCAGGTGGTTCAGGAGCTCACCAAAATCCGGGCAAAATCCACGGGAGGGACGGGGAAAAAGAAAGAACAGATGGATTCGATCTCACCTTCTCTTGTCGCTTGCGTCGGTGGCGTCCAAGGAATCAGGACGACGGTGACGGCACCGTGGACTGTTCCGCAGTGGGAGAGGAGTTTACCCTCCTCTAGCCACCTCAAACACAGCGACGCAGCGCCGCCCTCCTCTAGCCACCTCAAACACTGCGACGCGGCGCCGCCCAGTCAACCTGCCTCTCCCCCTCGCCACCACCCCGCTCTCCTGTCCGCAACGGGCAGGACGGCGATGTAGATTTTCCGGGGAAAGAGGCGGTGGCGGATCAGCACAGGACGACCTTCCCGGCAGCGCGCATCTCATCCGAAGTGCCTCACGGCGAACCCCACTCAAGGCGATGTGGATTTTGTGGACAAAGGGGCGGCGGCTGCCGAAAAGCAGGGGAGAAGAAATGTGGTCGCGTGGGCAGAGAGAGAGAGATCGGTGTGGGTTTCAAGGCTTCGTGGGGAAGGAAAAGAAAGAAGAAAAGGGGAGAAATCGGGGGAGGTGATATCTGCGGGAGATTTGTTCCAGCGCCCAATCGGCAACACGAGAGAAAACATTGTACATCCGTTGGCTTCTATTGAATCTGACGTGGCATGCTTAAGAGAGCGCCCTTGATGCGCAGCTGAATGTGTTTAATATTTTGTTGAGTCAGATCTCCTGTAAGATATTAAGTTTTTTTTGGAGGATTTAATGAATCAATTTCCACCGTAATAATTCGGTCCCACCAGATTAACAGTTCGTAAAATCTAATTAACGTGTGAATTTCTTGAAAGTTTAGAATTAATATAGGTATAGATAGATAGATATAGATATAGATAGATAGATTGCAACCATTCGCAACTACAAAAGAAGTATTAAGGTCAATTTAAGCATAATATGAAACATATGGATCCAAATAATGCCCCTTACAAAGCAACGCACAAACTAGGGTCTAAGCTTCTGTCACTCTAGCAACCCATCATCTACTTATTACTTTCCAATGCCTTACTCTAGGCCCAAACAATGGTGAAGTGTCATGTAGTCGACGTTCACATGACACCACTAGAAGAAAGACAACATACATCTCATCAAAATATCTAACGAATACCAAATTCACATGACTACTTATAGCAAGACTTCTCTCATGTGCTCAGAACAAACGTAACTACTCACAAATAATATTCATGTTCATAATCAGAGGGGTATTAATATACATAAAGGATCTGAACATATGATTTTCCACCAATAAAACCAACTAGCATCAACTACAAGGAGTAATCAACACTACTAACAACCCACATGCATCAATCTGAGGTTTTGAGACAACGATTGGATACAAGAGATCAACTAGGGTTTGTGATGAGATGGTGCTGGTGAAGATGTTGATGGAGATTGACCCTCTCCCGATGAGAGGATCGAACAGCTCCGCCGGAGCCCCTAAATTAGTTCCGCCTCGTGGTGGCGGAGTTTCGTCCCGTGAGCTTGCTTATGATTTTTTTCAGGGAAAAAGACTTCATATAACCAAAGATGAGCACCGGAGGCCTGCCTGGGGGCCCACGAGGCAGGGGGGCGCGCCACCCTCGTGGATGGCGGGTGCCCCCCTCTGGTACTTTCGTCGCCTAATATTTTTATATATTCTGAACCTGACTTACGTGAAGTTTCAGGACTTTTGGAGTTGTGCAGAATAGGTCTCTAATATTTGCTCATTTTCCAGCTCAGAATTCCAGCTGCCGGCATTCCCCCTCTTCGTGCAAACCTTTGTAAAATAAGACATAATGGGCATAAGTATTGTGACATAATGTGTAATAACAGCCCATAATGCAATAAATATCGATATAAAATCATGATGCAAAATGGACGTATAAACTCCCCCAAGCTTAGACCTCGCTTGTCCTCAAGCGGAATCCGATATCGAAAAATATGTCCACATGTTTAAAGATAGAGGTGTCGATAAAATAAAATACGGACATGAGGGCATCATGATCATTCTTAGAACAGCACACACACACTACACCACAACACTTTATTGGGGGCAATTAACTGCCGGAAGAAATGCCTAAATAGGGGTAAATGATCTGCCGGGAATCTCGTTACTGCCGGTAGAAGTAGTTCATGGCAGAAGAACTGCCAGTAAAACTTGAACAACAAAGACAGGGTAACTGCCGGTAACCATGTCTACGTGAAAAGGGCAAGAAAACTGCCGGGACAACTAAAGCACGACCCATTTTCTGCCGGGATGTCGTTGGCGCGTGATACTGAAATTGTTTTGGGCCTAAGCGCGCGCTCGCTCCGGAAAGCCCGCGAGCCGTGAAAATTTTGGCTCCGAACCAAGTACAGGGCCCCACACCTTTATTGAGTTTTTTTTGTTGTCTAAAAAAGACTTAATAAAAGTCTACAGATTCTAAAAAATAAGTACGAGGCCCCAATCTCTCGATTCATCCTCTCCTCCAAACCGCCCCCAAATCAACTCGACCTGCCCTCCATGGCCGCTCCACCCCACCACCACCACCCCAATCGTGATGTGCCCTCGCCACCGCAACCAACCACCACACCCCCGCCTACACCCCCAGCCACCGCGAGTCCCCGACCCCTGCCTTCGTCGCCTCCAACGCCCCACCGCAGCACGACCGAGCATACAGCTGATACAGATCTAGGTCGCCGCCGACCGGCCCCATCGCCGAGCCACTCCACCGCCGACCACTGTCCTCCGCCTAATGCTCCATTGCCACCACCATACTCTGCGAGCTTCCTCCCCCGAGCAGGACTTGTCACCGGTGCACCGACCAAGGCCGCCTCCTCTATGTCCTCTGCCCCAAGCAATGGAGCGTCCGTCCCCTCCCGCGAGCAGCTCTGCCTCCTGTACTTCCTTGTCCCAAAGAGAGCATTTGATAGGTGAGATTTGTTTGCTAACTTTTCTTTTTATTCAGTGTCTAGTAGTTTTAGTCATGAGATGCAGTGTACTAACCTAAAGCTTCAATTGGCGGAAAGCTGGCCAGATTATTTGGATTATTATTTGTATTCTTTAGTAATCTACCTCTCAGAACATGACCCAGTTTCTCATACATTGGCTGGTTTCCGTTGTATTCTTTTACTTGCTCTGTTCATGTGTTTGTAAGACGTTCACAAGACTGTTGTCTGTCTTAAAAAACAATGCATCCATTTGATGATTTGTTCGATCTGATCTAATAGCAAGTGTTTGTGATGCACTCTATAGGGATCAAGTTGTTGGGTGGCCGCCTCGTGGGAGCTACCGGAAGAACACACTAGCCGCCAATGCTACAAAGACCAAGGTGGAGAACAAAGGTAAAAGCAAGGCATGATACTGCTATGTCAAGGTCAGCATGAATGGAGTCCCATACCTAAGGAAGGTCGACCTCAAGACTTAACTCGAGCTCTACAAGAATCTTTCTCTAGAGCTTGAGAAGATGTTCAGCTGCTTCATCACTAGTGAGTGTCGCTGTTTTCATTTGATCAATTTCCAGCTATATATGTGTAGTGTTCTTTCCTTCGTTGTTTCCAGATGTAAGTTACCATGACAAAATATAGGTGAATATCTAGTCTGCAGTAAATGTGAAGTTAAGAATCATATTTTCCTTATGCATTTTTTGGTTACTGAAGCTCTCGGGAAGACAAAAAATGCAGGACTACTTTTGAACCCCACTGGCTTAACTATGTCTACGAGGCAATCGATGACCACTAAATAATTACTCAGCAGGATTAAGTGTAACATCCTAAGGATAGAAATAAATAATTAGATATGTATATTGCTACTTGAGTGCCAGAGTCTGGTCTTTCCTAAATGGTAGGAACACAGAGGCAAAACAACATATGCCATTCACAACATTCATTCAGTATTACAGCAAAAGAAGCAGCTTTTGGTAACCTGCGTTCAGTTAGTCTATTAATTGCAATTTCTATACAGTATTTTCCATTGTCCTCTTTCGTTACCTCCATGTTTCACCATCTCGTACGATTTCCCCTCCTATCGATGTTTTTTCTCAATCTGAGGCCCACCTTGTGTTTTCCCCAAGCCAATTTTTTCCTCGTGGGACAGACAACCTTTTCCAGCCTAATTTGTTTCCTAGAATCGATCATGCATCCTGACCTATTGGGAAGTTTGATTTTTGTGCCATCATATTTTGGTATGTCCTCAACACTGCTCGCTATTCGGTGAACTGTTTCTTCTAATTCAGTGCCACATGCATCTCCTCAATCGGTTGCATGTCCTGTATATATTTAGAGTTTGTATATGAAGAAGGTTGTTTGTGTTATTTTACAGGATTGCGTACACTATGATCAGATCTGTTTGGCAGATTTGAGTACCCTGAGCTCATCTCATTTGAAGAAAGCAGCATTTTTCAGTTTCAGATTCATGTCGGCATACAAAGCTAATAGTACCACACCAAGCAATCATGTAAGTAGAATGTAAAATTTCCATTTCCCTATGAGATTTAATGATTATGAATGGCCAAGATTATACACAAAACTGGGTCATGGTGAAGCCTTTTATCAACTGTGAAAGCTCCATATAATTTTCGTCTTGTCCTTTTCTCTCCTAAATTATCGTTTTCTATGTCATTACTTTATGTTAACATTTTTTGTTAACCATCTTTACTATTAAAGTGGAATTGGCGATTGTGCATCGTTTTCATGGCACATACTCCCTGCCTCTCCAGTTTAACTTAGCACTAATGTGTCGGTCCTGTGTTTTAATCTTCTTCGTGAGCTTTCCAAAGGAAGAAAAATCTTGGTGAACAATCCCAGTTCTTTGTCTATTCGTTCATTCACTCCACATGCTTAAGGTTGAGGTTGATGTTGCTTTTGCTCAGTAGTACTCACATGTTTGAGGTCAAGGCAATACTTTCATGTCTTTAGAATTAGTACTGCACATGTGACAAGTTGTACAATGATATTTTAATCAGTGTCTACGTCTAATTATGTTGTCCCGTGGCAATGCACGGGCAAATAGCTAGTATATGTAATATTCCTAGCATTACTTATGGAAATTTGTGTAACTATAGGTGTTTTCTATTTTCCTCTAAAATTGATGTATATTGGAAGGAAGCAGATTCATAACTAAAATCGTGGTATTACAGGAAAACAAATATTCTTGCAAAACATCAACAAGAGACAGGCTCACAAATGGTTCTAGGATAAATGCTCTTAGGGACCAGGAGTATGTCCTGACCTATGAAGATAAGGATGCTGATTGGAGCTCTTTGGCGATCTTCCTTGGTAATGAGTTCCTAAATTTTCTGGGTTGTGATGTCCATGCACCTAAACTTATGATGTTTTATTGTGGCATTCATCTTGTACATACAGTACTTCTGCCCACTCAGGCAATATCTCTTTTGTTGTTTTCTGCTGTGTATCTTTGGTTAGAAAACTTGGGAGATCTTGATAGGAGATTCTGATAGAACTTCTAATGTGGTAGCCTAGACTTCTACCGCAAGTGGTTTACCCTTTACACCAGCCTTTCAGAGTTGATATTTGTTGTAGTCAAAACATACTTTGCAACTTGATGAAATTTTAGGATACCCCCATGTGTAAAAATGATTTGGGGTAGTCGAGTCTTCCTAGTTCTCCATGAAACCTAGCTTGCCCTTCCTTTTATATTTAAAATGGAAGGTATATTGCCTCCCGCCTCTGCATGGGTGCACCCAGCCCTGTCTAAATCATAGTTTTATTCGGATAATGTGTGGACAAATATTCTGCGAATAAATGATTAGGAAATTGTATGAAGAGAACATTATATGTATCCCCATAGACATGCTTGTTTCCTATAAATATATTGACATTAAATATTTCATCTGTCGATTTAAAATCTGAAACGAGAGCAGCATTTTGAGTTTATTTTTTTTACAGGTTTCTGAAAGATGCAGAAGTTGATGGAAGTTTGGAAGATCTACAAGTTGCTGGAGGTTTGGAAGATCTACAAGTTAGTGGAGTGATAACATATATGTAATATGTCTTGTTTGTTGAACCTGGAGACATTGCAAAGTTTTCCTCTGCTCATTTTGGTGGTTGTTTTGGTACACAAGCCATTGTATCCTCATTTTGCTTGTGGGCCACAATTTTTGTTTATCTTGAAACATATGTACATATGTCTTTGGTCTATTTATATTATTGAATGAGGCCTTACAGATAACTTTGATTGAAACACGTGTATAAATTGCATGATCTGACATGATTGTTTGAACATACAGATTGGATTATTAAATAAGGGATGTGTTACCCATAACAATTTAGATTGCTTGTGAAAAAACACGTGATGGCATACTACCTGCCGGGTAAATGTGTTTGTGCAGGCAGTGAAACTGCCGGCAATTGTAGTTCCTACCACAGGACACAGTCTGCCGGGGGAAAATAAACTGCTGGGAGATATAAAGGTCAGGGCAGAGAAACTGCCGGGGATAGTTTATCTGCCGGGAGAAGTAATCCCCGGCAGCCGTTGTCGTGGCAGTTCTATCTGCCGGGAGAAACTCTGTCCCGGCAGTTTTTCTGCCCTCATAAGGGCGTTCGCCCGGAAGATTATATGTCGTTGCATTGGTGTTGTGGTGTAGTGACACACACACACACACACAGATATATCAGGATCTTTCTAGCACACAGTGCTTGCCAAAGGACAAAATGTAAAAAGAAAAGGTGAAGATCACCATGACCCTTGTATAAAGTAGAAGACAAGAATAAAAGATAGGCCCTTTGCAGAGGGAAGCAGAGGTTGTCATGTGTTTTTATTGTTGAATGCACGAAATCTTAATGCAAAAGAACATCACTTTATATTGCCACTTGTGATATGGACCTTAATTATGCAGTCCGTCGCTTTTATTTCTTCCACATCACAAGATCGTATAAATCTTATTTTCTCCACACTAATAAATCGTACATATTTAGAGAGCAATATTTATTGATTGCAACAATGACAACTTACTTGAAGGATCTTAATCAATCCATAGGTACATATGGTGGACTCTCATGGCAAAACTGGATTTAGTGATATTTGGAAGCACAAGTAGTATCTCTACTTGGTGCAAAAAATTTGGCTAGCATGAGAGGGAAAGGCAAGCTCAACATGTTGGATGATCCATGACAATATAGTTTATTTCGGATGTAAGAAAACATAACCCATTACGTTGTCTTCCTTGTCTAACATCAACTTTTTAGCATGTCATATTTTAATGAGTGCTCATAATCATAAAAGATGTCCAAGATAGTATATTTATATGTGAAAACCTATCTTTCTTTATTACTTCCTATTATTTGCAACGATGACCAAAACTATGTTTGTCAACTCTCAACATCTTTTATTCATCATACTCTTTATATGTGAAGTCATTACTCTACATAAGATCCATATGATCCCTTTATTTATTTTTTATTCTTACTTTTATTCCCTCAAGATCATAACAAGATAGCAAAGCCCTTGACTCAACACTAATCTTTATTATATATAGCTCACAAACTCGAATACATAGAAGGATCATAAAGCAAAACTCAAGACTAGATCATACTAAAACTTTATTCTACTAGATCAAGATATTATCAAAAGGATCGAACTAAGAAAAATGATAAAGATAAAAGTGTGATGGTGATACGATACCGGGACACTCCCCCAAGCTTGGCAGTTGCCAAGAGGAGTGCCCATACCCGATACTTAGTGCTCCTTTGGTGGTGAAGGAGAGATTGTTGATGATGTAGGGTTGTCGTCCAGCATCGAGCGGAGGACATGCTCCAACTTACGAATAATGCCCTTGAGTGCGATGACATGCTCTTGCAACAGAATATTTTCATGAGTTAGATACTTGTTCTGCACCCGAACTATTTCAATCATCTTGAAATCTTCAATTTTGGTAGGGGTAAGAAGATTGTAATGAGGTTGAAGGATGTCTTCTTCTCCCGCTGCCGGAGCTTGATCCTCTGTGGCCTTCTTGATCCCATCATACTTGTTGATCTCCCCGGGTTCTTCTCTCTTCAGCTCTATCTTCATTAGCCAAGCATCGTCGCCCTCATTGTTGGAGGACGGGGACGACATGATGCCTGGCTTTGACAACTCTGGCAGAAAACAACTCGAAACAAAAACAGAGGATAATTGCATGTTAATTATGTTGGTCAAAACCTTCGGGAGATTATATATTGAATTTTTACCGAGCAAAAGAAGTATTGTGCAAGAAATCGGAGTCCGAAGGGCACACGAGGTACCCACGAGGCAGGGGGCGCGCCCAGGGGGGTAGGGCGCGCCATCCACCCTCGCGGATGCCTCATGTCCTTTCCGGACTGCTTCTTATTTTCCTATTTTCTTAAATAATCCAAAATGGAGAAA